TATGTTTTTGCAAGAACATTTTTCAAGACTTATATTTTGTTTGATGTTCTTATATTTTTACATGTAGAATATACATTATATTCTTATATGTAAAATGTATTATTACAAGATATTTTCAACGAGTCTTACCTCATGATAGAGTGTCTTATAATCCTCACACAGTTTGATACACTCGTAAAAAATCTTCATACTCTTTCTAGTTTTCCCCACAAATACATCTGCCAGATTGATAAATCCTTTGCACATGACGACAATCTGGTTGCTGAGCGCGGTGAAGAGATTGCTTATCCTCTCGCGGGTATTGTAGAAAGGGGAATTCAGCCAAATCGTCCTGAAGAGATGCATCATTTTTGGCAGATATTGAGCCACGCTCGCAGGAGTTGTACAAGTCTTCAACTCGGCGAGAGTGTCCTCCAGAATGCTCAAGAACTCAATGTTCGATTTCGCTTCGATTGTACCGTGCTCGATCTCGTCCTTCAACATCAGGAACTGACGTATATAAGTGGACTGCGCAGCCAACAATATGTTAATAATAAGCTCCACCGTTTCTCTATGTAGCTGATAATTCAAACCGCAGAGATTGTCATCTAGCGTATAAAAAAAAGCATATATTTAAACAAATTAATACAGCAACGACTGTGCACAATCTTCCCAAAATTTCTATATTTACAGAAAAACATGGCAACTATAAAGATATCAATTGTATATACAAGTTTCATATGTAGAATTAATGTAATAAATATTTAAATAAATTATTTTAGTTTTATTAACAATAATAGTTTATTTAACTAAATACATGAATTTTACAAATGATACTTGCATAATTGTTACCTTTATATATATATTACCTTTATGTCTTTCTTTCTGAGTGTAAACTTAAGTTTTCAATTTGCTTATCTATGAATAAAATTCATATAAAACAAATAGAATGTAAACGTGTGAAAAGTTAACATTTATATATATACAAGTTATGAATATTGTGTGATCAAATGTTACAGATGATCAAATTTCTTCCTAACTCTATGACAAAGAGGGATTCCGTTATAAAACGTCACATTAAAGGAAACTTTTGTTCCTCCTAAGAAATTTCCGGACATATATTATCGGGAAACGATTCTATTCTCTCTCTTCTCTTCTCGCAGCCACTACGTCTTTTCCTAGTAGTAAGCACTTACATCGATAAGTCCAGAAGTCATATTCGTCGTCGAGGCACAGTAACTCATGCGGGCTTGCTTGTTCCTGGTCAGAGAGGGCTATTTTGATTTGGGTGTTCCAATAGGCCACCACACCCTCCAGCCTCTTCACCAACTCCTTATCGGCGCTACCCTCCTCCGTAGTAAACTCCCTACTCTCCAGAGGTACATATATCACGGTTAAGCCCAGCATTTTGTACGTGAGGTCCGTTAAATTGCACAAGAAGGTGTCCAGTTGGGTGCAGAAGTCCGCTTTCACACATGTGTTTTGGTGCGATTAAGGAAAAGAAAATCCAGGAACGTGATACGACATCGGACCTCGTTATCGCTGTTCCCAATACTACTATTTTTTATACCGTTCAAGCTGTCCCGGCGTCTATCACATAGAATTGTAGCACGTATCCTCGCGATACGTCCGCTGATGGAGATTTATTGAGTTGAATTGTCCGCTGTATATCGAAAGTGATTGACTACACTACATCGTCATTGTCACATCAATTTACAACTGAAGCGTGCAGCTGTAAATCTTAGCGACAAAAATTGGAAAAAGAACATGGTCGTTCTGCACTTGAAGTGAACCATATGTCAAACTTAATGATTAATGCAAAAAAACATCATATCGGTTCCATACTATAAAAGTGACAACTCAGAGAATTGAATTTTCCCCAAAAAAAGGAACAATTATTTTTTAAAGTGATAGAAAATTTTTGACTAATCAAATAATAAGACAAAAAGAATATATTTTAACATATGATATAAAATGTTATTTCTGTCATTTTTGTTTCACAGTCCTTAAAAAGTTACGATTTATATAACTTTTTAAAACTTTTTTTTTACATACAAGTATAAAGATTTTGATAATTTTTCAATTATTTTAAAATTAAAATTAAATTCAATTTTAATGAGATAAGGATAATATTTATTTAACTCGTTCCTCGTAATAACTCGAAAACGTTTTTTGGTGTGTTAAATTTTAAGTAAAGAAGCAATATCATCTCTCTATTTTTTTATTTTTGAAAAAGGACGGTTTGAAGTAAAAATTTAGCTAAATCTAAAAAAATTATCTTATTGGACTATCAAAATAATTATATAGAATACTTTCTGAAGCTAGGATGTCAAAAGTTTTTGTAGCTTTGCTCATCCTACTTGAGTTTTCCACGTAATTATTAAATTTTAATGGTTCAACCAAATTATTTTTAGATCTATATTTAGCTAAGTTTTTAGATATTTCAGCAAAATCTCAGCAAAATCGTTCTTTCCGTGTGAAGTCTACATGTTTTGTAAACTTCGTTAAAGCACTTATTTGACATGTACGTTTTATAAGCATCGTGTTAATTATATCTCGCATTAATCATACGGCTATAAGAACAAGAATTTAAGTCATAATTCAATCAAGAATGAATCCACGATCGTTGCGTATACATTTGGGAGGATATAAAAAGCGCGACGCGTGAGCGGAGTTGTGTTGGGCGTCCTAACACAATTAACAAAGCGACGCTTCGATCCAGTTAAAATCCGCTCAGGATCCATTAGAAATAATGAAGTGGCTCCCGTACGAATGCAATGCAATCGTTTCTAACTCGACGGCAAAGTAATCCCGTTCGCGTACGTGGGCAAACATCGACGCTGGATTTACCAGCGGCGGTGAGTTGTGCAGTGCATTTAGCCGAAAATTATGGTAATAATAACTTTCGTGCAATTCCCAGGCGTCCCCACTTTCCCGTCCCGTCCCCCGTGGGACCAGGCCGGAACTTTGTGTCGTGCGTTGCGGTAACGGGATTGCAGCGCTAAAGTTGGAAATTCACTTGGTAATGTCATCACGTTAGATTGTTATGACCTTAAGCCGAAGCAACTATGGACGATCGCGATGATCGCCCTTGGCATTGTGAGACTGGCCCGTCGTGGCTCCTTTGTCACTGCTGTCGATTGAAACTACAGCCACTTATCGATCGTCTTTAGCGTATATGCGGGATTATTCGCCAATAGTCTACAGTAGTCTACACGATTGACACCTAAATTACGACTAAACCATGAAATTTTTATTATTTATTACACCGGTTTATCAGAAATATTTGCTATCGATTTCGTTAGAAAAAACAGATACAAACATCTAAATAATCAATTAAAAAGATTATAGTATTTAAGAGGATGCTAAACCGATTACCCAACTCGATCAAGGTCGATAGTACAGACTTTTTTAATTCCAAATTCGATAATAGTGGTGACATCTTTGATTTAGTTTTTACATTATATTATATAATATATATCATTCTGTCTTACTCAAACGCATACATCTGTTCTTATCTAACATATGCCAGCACCATCTATCGCAAGACCGCGCAACTACTGCTACACGGAATTTCGGCTATGTTGACAGTCCCAGTCTTCGCAAAGCACCTGTATACACGTATTTTCTATTCGGTGGAAATATTTGTTTTCTAGACTTTCAATCTTATAATTAGTTCTACAAACTCGGTATCGTTCGTTTCAATAATGTGACCTCAGCTGCACGCTTATTTTCAAGATATGGACTCTAAAACTCTTATATCAAGCAAATATATATCTGAGGTGACAGCTATACGAGCCAAAAGTAAGTGAATTTTTAACGAATTTTAAACTTTTTTTCGATTTTCTCATGAAATCCAGTGCAGCTGAGGTCCTGTTTGTGCGTACTTTAATTTAAGTAATAATACTTTTGCAATCCGTACATCCAATATGGAGCTTTTTCACCGAATGGAAATGTGGTAAAATAGGAGGCTTTAGCATCGCCTTTACCCTACATTACTCAATTAGTAGCTTTTTAACGTAATTATTCACAGAGATGTTTCTCACACCTCAACATTGTATCTCAATTTTCATTGTTTGAAAATAATTTTGTTGCCAGCAAAATAATTATAAAGGACGCTCAAATTGATTATTAGATTGTCAAAACTTTTTACAGCATTATCGTCATGTTTGAATGTCCTACATAATTATTAGTCCAACAAAACTATTTCCAGATCTGTATCTGTCGAAATTTTTAGATACTTCAGCAAAATGGTTCTTTCCAAGTAGATAAATTCAAAATTTTTTTAATTGTTTCACAATTAAAAACAAATTTATAAAGCCGAGAATGTCTTGGATACTTTATATAAGGAATGAAGGGTTAAAGAAGCATTAAAGCGATAATATGAAAGCAGTATAAATTTAGAGAATAGAACGTACTAATTACACATGTTATCCAGAGGAAAACAAGAAGACTAAAATAAAATTGACTACGGCAGAATATTCGAAAACCCAATTGGTTCGATTGGATTGAAATTGCTTCGCAAAAATCGATTATATATCAGAACAGATATATATCGGATTGAATCATGGATTCGAGCGAGAGATAAAACGCGCGATGTCTCCCTTGGGCGCCTTTCGCTGGTGAAGCTTTTTAAACGTACATTTAAATCCGCGAAAAACTTTAAATCACCACCCACTACAAAATCAACTGGTCGCGAGCGTTTCGCGCGCGCGCAGCGGGATTTGAAAGTTAAACAGAATTTACATTACACGGCGAAGCCCAACCTCAAGTGGGTCACTTGGGGAGTTGCCGAGAAGACCGACGGGATATCGTGTCTGGACCCAATTAAAGTTCCGTAACTCGCGATCTGTACACGTACATTATTTACTGAGACGAAACGAAAAAAAAAAAAGAGAAAGAGAAGCGAAAAAATGAAGAAACTTCGCCAACTCTTCCTGTTGGCCTATCGTTATATAGTGGAGCTCACTCGTTCTACGGATTCGTACCGTTTGGCCCGGTACCTTACGAAACTTTTCGCGTTAGTTACGCGAATTAATTGGGTACTTTGACGGCAATGTGATAACAGAGACGAAGGGCAGAAGGATACTGTCGGGCCAGGTTTCGATTGCAAAGAAGATCGGTGCGAACATGTTCTGGATGATGCCTAGTATATGACTCTCCACCTTGTCGTTCATCGACCCGAAGAGAATGCGTTCGCGAAAGTTCTCCGGATAGAGAATCTCGTTGGGCTGTCTCACGAAGTAGGTTAGCTCGTGCACGGGCACCGTAGGAAATGAAAATTCTGTGGTCAGACTGCCATTCACGTGATAAATGCAGAGGACCGGAATGCTCGGTTCGTGGAAGAACTCGCGAATGTCCATGTCGCATTTCCACGTCCAATCGTCGTCCGTCAGACCGCTCAGAGTCGTCATATCCTTAACACACTGAACCTGAAAAGGCATCGAATTTTTGTGGATACTTGCTTCTAATTCGAACTAATAAATCAATTTTTATTTTTCAACGATATCGTATATCGTTTCTGGAAGTAATATATTATCTCAATGTAGAATGTAATTGAAATAGTTATTTGAATGTAATTATTTGCTTATATCTGATATAATTAAAGGATACTGTATTTATGCACATGCCCTTATGAAATAAATGTTAGAGTAAATACTATAAAAGTTTAACCATTAACTTTTTTCGAACGAACATGGAAAGAATAATTTTACTAAAAATCTACGGATCTAAAAATAATTTTTGTTAGACCATCAAAATAATTAAAGCTTTTTAAATTTAACATAATGAACAATACTGCAAAATTTTTAAGCATTTTAGCAACTTATAAAGTTTTCTATAGCGTCCTACATAATTATTTTGATAGCTCAAGGAAATCATTTTTAGATCTGTATTTATTTAAATTTTTTAATACTTCTGTGACAAAATCATTCTTTCCGTATATAAACTATAATTCAATCTTAAAATTATATATCATAGTGTTTGAGATAATTTTAGATTGTAAATCTAAGAAAAATGCTCAAACTTACCAATTCATTTAATTCATCCGCTTCATATACTGGACGTAGCTCCACCTCTTCTTTATCTGCAACAACATTCATCCCGCTTGATAATCTCTATCGTAGATCGCAAGTAATACCGCGGTTGCACTGCGAGATCCTATCTCTCTGTGCATTGCGACGACATTTATTGTCGGAAAGGCAACCTCGTAACTAATATAAAGGGCATTGGAAAGAGGAAACAAATTCTAAAGGCTGGCCGTTCGTTAGTCGTCAATTGGAACGGCGAGATGTGCTCTCCTAAATTCGCCATCCAGGTTAAATAGAAGACATTCGTTCCAAGAGGGGTCTCTCGTTCGTCCCTATCATTCCTCAGGCCTTCTCCACGTCTCGGTCCCATCGCTGGGCCATCGCCGCCGCCCATTCTGCCACCCATGCCTTTACTCCTGGCAATCTAATAGGAACTATAAATCGCGAGTAGCTAGTAAATCGAAGGAAGAGGAAACACGTCGCGTCGCGATCGAGGTGCTACCGTAGGCCACGTTGGAGCAATTTATCCCGCTATGATGGCGGACATTATGCAGATACGACGATGTCTTCTTTGGCGACATGCAACGACTTATCGGTCTCACGTATATACTTCTCTCAAAAATCATTGTTCTTAAAAAAATTATTAGAATTATTTAGCACGAAATGAGACAAATTGTGAATGGATTTATGCCAAATTTTAGGATTTAAATTAACAATGAAAAATAATGGACACATTGAAAGAACGGTTTTGTTGAAATATCTAAAAATTTAGCTAGATCTGAAAATTTTGTTAGAACCATCAAAATAATTTTGTAAAACACTCAAACTAGTTACTAGAATGTCAAAACTTTTTGTATAGCATTGTTCATCGTGCTTAAGATTCTTACGTAATTATTTTGATGATCCAATAAGATTATTTACAGCAAAATCAATCTTTCTGTATACCTAAGTAGAACAACAAGTCACTATAACGTCAAAATGACGTTAAAATGAATGATAACTGATTGAAAAGTAACTTTTAGTAATTATTTAGGAGTCACTCTGATGTCATTTTAACGTCACCATGACTTGAGTTCTGCTTGATTATTATTCATAACTTATCCATTATTTTAATATTAAGATAATTGTTTATCTCACGGACGTGTCATTTAGAATTACTGTGTAAGGAATATATAAATCCAATTTATATAAATCTCAAATGTTATAAATATCAGATATTTCTAAGACGAATATACTCATATTAAAATATGAGTGAAGGATAATGAAAGGCTGCAATTTCTCGTCTTTTTAAATGCACTGTCAAAGTGTACGGTCACTTTGTCGCACGAATAATTGAAATCGTCTGACTCTGTGAATTAATGCGAGATCAGATGAAGCATTTTACCGCAACTAACTAGTGATGAAATCACTGTCCTCGATCATATGTAACGTGACGTTAATTGTTTGCAGATTAAGGGTTTGTAGATCCTACCGTGTTTGAATTGTGGAAGAATTGTGAGTAATAATGTTAGTTTGCATCAGGACTGATAGATGCAGGCATCTTGCATATAGATTATCGGTTTATCCAGTTTACCTACTTTTGAATCGTGCAAGTACCATGAGAACTCGTGAGAGGACGAATTAGGTTCATCTTCCAACATGCAGCGGGTACGATCGAGGTCGAAGGGTAAATTACCATAATCCTGGAGACAAATTAGGAACCTGCAACAGCGCGGAACCTGCGAATGACCGATTAATCGTTGCAAGTGGCCGGCTTATGTACGATATGTCATAATTATTGAAATTGTTGAAATTGAAATGAAAATTGGCTCATTAATATCAAGTACTCTTGATGTATAATCGTACATCTGTTACATCTATTTCGTCTTTAAAGTTATCGCGGAATTTATGATTACCAAATGCACTCGTGGGAGCATACAAAACAGCCATTGTAATTGCAAATTGGACGCGGCCATCATCGAATCCGTGTCGAAATTTGGGTGAGCGTCCCTGTCGAGCGACTTGCTTCAAATTAGCTGCATTATGGCTAACATGGTTGTTATTATTACTGCCTTGTTAATATTTGCAAAAGTATTGAGGAAATTATGTCCGCTGTAATGGCTGGTACAAACTAGAAAATGAATTAAATAAGCCAATCCTGCTTAATTAATCAGCGTCGCGCTGTAATAAAGTATTCAAAAATGTATCAGTCTCATGTATCAATCGCAGATATCGCACACAGAGTGGTAATGGAATAAACGTGTCATGATTTGTGGAAATTGGAAATTGAGGTATTTGGAAAAGATAGAGGACGAAGTAAAAAAAAAGCGGATAACAGATAGAGTTGAGAATCGTGAAAAACGAAAGTATTTAATATTCTTTTCACGAATGTGTTGCTTGTTCCGTGATCGATTTTGCGGTATCTTCGGATTTAACGGCGGAATTGGAGTGCGCGACGAGGTCGTACGAGACAGAGGTTGAAAACGACGGGCCGAAAGTGTCGAAAATAGGACAGGCGGAGCGAAGAAGCGAAGTTGGGAAAGGAGCGGAAAATCGAGAAAGTTGAAACGGAGAAGTGGGTGCGTTTAATATTTTTCTCGTAAATCTTACCGAGCCTTTCCGCTTCATCGCTGGACTCGGCGTCCAAGTACTCTCGGCGTGGGTCCGGGGGCGGCTTATCTTTAACTTTATTTCTCCGTCTTTGCATTTTATTGACGGGGTGGCCTGCCGGCGTCGTCACCTCTCTTACACGAGTCTGTGCAGCTGATTTATGCGCCCGGTCCGACTGTTACGGCAGCGAATCTTTCAGCGTTTTCGCCGTAGATATCCTGAAGCACCACCGCGAAGTTGCCGTGAGCAAGAGGAGTGGTCTCGGCAGTAGATCGGCTTTTGGAAAACTGATCGTTCGTTGTCGAAGGGGTTCTCAATATCTCAAAAAAAGTATCGTTTTCGATCGCTGTTTAAATTATAAGATAGAATATATTATATACAAAAATGATTTACTGTATATAGAATATTTGTAAAATATTTTCATTATTTCTCTGTGAATAATCATTGTGAAATAAGTTTTGTTTTTAATTCAATGACTTAAATTAAAAAACCTTAATAAATTTAATTTAATTTAATAATTTGTGCAATTCGTTTTGTCAAGGATGATTTGTACAAGTTATCGCATTATTAACCCGGTCCTAATTTGTTTTTAGGTAAATGATCTGCCTTAATTTTGTACTCCAATTAATATCACCATTATTAATAACATAAACCCATATTCAGAACGCTTATTACGATAGCGCGCATTTAGCACAAATGTACTTCACATGTTACATTATAGAATTTATTCTATAATTATTATAGAATTTCAGAAATAAAAGTACGTATTTATCATATAAAAGCACGAATATGGAATATATTGTACATTATTGATAATTTTCCGATTAATTAATGTTTGAGAAAATTATGAATATAGATTTAATCAAAATTTTCCGAAAAAAAAAACAGTAAAAACCAGGAATTTTAAATAATATTAAACGGAATAAGCGCGATTAAATAGTTTATTATGACATTGTTTCGAAAAAAATAAAGATTTTAATTAATTTATCACTTTTTGTTGTAGGATTTCTTATGGAATTGCATATATAAAAGTTCATAAAGAATAGTTTTTAGAACAGAAGGAAGATATATTAAACGATATTTATATAAAACAAAATTTTACAATTCACATTTTTTCGCCGCTAGATAGAAACAGGCAATTAATTTCACATATTTTTTGTGCTTATTTAATTTCTTGATAAATTTAAATATACATACTTATATACATATATATTTATCTATTATTATTATACATAAGTTATCTTTTCCAATAAATTGAAGCTTTGCAGAGCTAATGAAAACTTTCCACTTCGTTGCATACATTACACGTCCTGGTGAGCAAATCGCGAAACTTCAGTTTATTAGGTTCATTGTGGCCGTTTATTCGTTAAAATTACGTGCATTACTTCATTTCAAAGCTGCTGCCTCATTTGCGCTAGAGAATAATCATATGCATTTTGTGCGTGAATAATTATTGCACTTGTTATAAGACGTATTAATCACATACGGGATGATCTCTCTTTAATGAAAAACGACTTTTATCATTCTCGATTTCATACAAAATCGATTTCAGAAACATGAAGTAGGTAATATAAAACATAAAGTGATAAAATTAAAATTGTTTTAATTAGAAAAAAGTGCAATTTGCAGAAAATAATATTACTGAGATTATTATATGGCGTTTAGTTTGAACATTCGATGAACAAAATTTAAATATTATTAATAATAAGTATAAAGCTACGAGCCAAGCAAAGTCTTAATGCTGTGTTATTATAAAACAAAAGTTTATTATAACATACGTTTCGATCCTAATTGGGTAATTCTCAATGTTGATTCAATTAGGATCGAAACATATGTTATAATAAACTTTTGTTTTATAATAACACAACACATTAAGATCTTGTTTGCCATATACTTATTAATTTTATAAATTATTTGAGCCTTTTTCTTATATTATTTTTAAATATTATTATTATATTTCACATATTTTAGAGATCTATAAAAAAAATTCATTAAACAAAATTAAAAAAAGTTTTTCAATAAAAAAATAGAGTCTCATTTTGAGATACAGACAATTCTACAGTTACAATTTGAGTGAACTGATAATAAGAGTATACTTAGCTGAGAGGTGTGATGAATTGAAAACAGTATGATTATTCCCATAAATTATTCAACGTCATTAAAACATTGTACGAAAATTTTGTAATATAGTAATACGCGATAAGACGATTATTAAATCTTACATTATTAAACATCGTTGCTATATGGAATTAAAATTAAGTTATTATCAAATAGAAATAAATAAACTTGTACACAATTAAAAAAATAAGATTGGTTTATATATTTTGTACTTTTTATTAAATAAATTAATATAGTAATATCTGATTAAATAAAATCATAAAATCTAAATTAAAATGTTTATTTGAGAATAAAATATCTTCTTTCTGCCTTTTAATGTATTTGTGAAATTCATATATCAAAATAAATACTAAACATTATTTTAT